ACGTTAATCAAGGCTTAAGGCCTAATCAAGCCACTATTTCTATGTGCTCCACAGTGGCCGCAGTTAGTTCGTGTGAAGTGTTGCTTCAAGTCATCCCAGTTCGAGTGATTAGTAATTCTGGCAACCAGATTACTACCTTTGGCCTACTAGACTCAGGCTCCGACATAACCATGATTGACCCGTCTCTCGTGAAACTGCTGAACATTAAGGGCTCACCAAGTGAGCTGTCACTCACGACAGTAAACAATGCCGATACAGAAGAAGAGGGTCTGAGAGTTGACTTCCAAATTGCTTCAGTAGACAGCGAGAATGACCATCTGATTGATGTCAAATCTGCCTGGGCTGTAAAGGATCTTACAATTCCCCTAAAGCACACAAAGGTGACAAGGTCTTTTGGACAGTGGCCACATCTGCAGCAAGTGTGCTTCCCGGAAGTAGAGAGAAGTAAGATTTCTATCCTGCTTGGTACAAACATCCAAGAGGTCTTCATACCGCTTGAAGTTAAAAGAGGTAAACCAAATGAGCCAATCGCAATCAAGTCCTGTATTGGTTGGAGTATACTTGGTGGCTGTCCCAGTGTACCTTCTTCCACTCCTGTGCAAGTCAATCTCATTAGAGGGGAGGATGTTACCCTAAGTGACCAGCTTGAAGAATTCTGGAGAGTCGAGTCCTATGGTACGAGCAAGTGTGAAACCAAGCCCCTGTCTGTGGAGGACCAAAGAGCTATGAACTTGATATCCAATTCAATCTGTAAACATGATGGCCATTATGAGATGGGCCTCCTGTGGAAGAGTGACAATCCTGTGCTTCCTTACAACAGAACACTAGCTGAAGCGAGACTGCAACACTTAAAGAGACGCTTCCTTCGAGATCCAGAACTTGAAGTCAAATATAGAGCTGTGATTGAAGACTGTGTGACCCAGGGATATGCAAGAAAGCTCACAAAGGAGGAAGCAGCAACAGTCAGCAAAACCACATGGTTCCTGCCTCACCACCCAGTAAGCAATCCGAACAAGCCAGGCAAGGTGAGAGTGGTGTTTGACGCGGCTGCAAGATTCAGCGGCACGTCGCTAAACGAACAGCTCATCCAAGGACCTAATCTGACAAATGACCTGTCTGGAGTGTTGATTCGTTTCCGTGAGGAAGAAATTGCCTTCTCAGCAGATATCGAGGGCATGTTTTACCAGACCAGAGTAGCCCCAAGTGATACAGATTCTCTGAGGTTCTTGTGGTGGCCTAAAGGTATTGACGAGCCTCCAGAAGAATACAAAATGTTGGTCCATATTTTTGGTGCTAAGTCTTCACCCTGCTGTGCCAACAAGGCGTTAAGCATGACAGCACAAGACAATGAAGAAAATTACCCACCTGAAGTGATCAGAACAGTTCGTAGAAATTTCTATGTGGACGATGTCCTGAAGTCCGTCCCAAATACTGACCAAGCCATACCTCTGGCCTCAGATCTTATGAAGTTGTTGAGAGAAGGAGGATTCCGCCTAACAAAGTTTGCGAGCAATAGTCGTGAATTACTAGCCTCAATTCCTCCCGCGTCCAGGGCGAATCCCAAGTTGGACCTAGATCTAGACCAGTTACCCTTAGAGCGAGCGTTGGGTGTCTACTGGGACGCACAGTCAGATACTTTTAGGTTCAAGGCCTTACAGGCGTACAAGCCATCCACCAAGCGAGGAGTACTTTCCGTCGTAAGCTCCCTATTTGATCCGTTGGGATTTCTTTCACCATTTGTGTTCTCAGCCAAGATTCTGTTACAAGAGCTGTGGAGGCAGAAGTTGCCTTGGGATAAAGAAATTCCAGAGACGTATTCGTCCCTCTGGCAGAAGTGGTTGCAAGAGCTGCCGTGTGTTACTACAATCGAGATACCAAGGTGTTACAAGACCCAGTGCCTTAGTACACAAGCCACTGTGCAGTTGCACAACTTTTCCGATGCGTCAAGGCATGGTTATGCAGCAGTGTCCTACCTACGGTTCGTTGATGAAAAAGGAGTGATCCACTGTTCCTTCGTTATGGGGAAGACCAGGAATGCGGCCATTAAAGAGTGGACTATACCTCGCCTAGAACTGCAAGCGACAGTGTTAGCGGTACGGCTAAGTAACTCAATTCTGAAGGAGCTTGACCTGCAAGTAGATGAAACCTTTTTCTGGTCTGACTCAATAACGTCCCTGCAATATATCAAGAACCAAACTAGGCGCTTCCAAACCTTTGTTGCGAATCGCGTGGCCGAGATTCATGAATCAACCTCCCCAGAACAGTGGCATCATGTCCCAGGTAGTATGAACCCCGCTGATGAGGGTTCACGAGGCGTCACCATAGAGCATTTCCAACCCGGATGTCGGTGGTGGTCAGGTCCTTGCTTTCTGTGGCAGCCTGAACAACACTGGCCTAATGCTCAGATGGAAGACATTCGAAGTGATGATAAAGAAATACGAAAACCAGCCACAATCATGTTCACCACTGACACGTCCCAAGTTGATCTCCTACTACCGCGCTATTCGTCGTGAGCCCGTTTGTTGAGAGTGATGTCGTGGGTGCTTCGCTTTGTCAAGCCACTAAAGAAGGAAAAACCTGAATGTGTCGTCGGACGTACACTTACCCTTGTTGAGCTTCAGGGATCAAGCGAAGTAATTACGCGACTGGTGCAGCGCCAACATTTCCGTGAAGAGTACATGGCTTTGAAAGAAGGCAGATAGGTGAAATGTAGCAGTAGTTTGGCCACTCTTAGTCCGATCCTAACTGATGGCATTATACCTGTTGGAGGAAGAATTCACCGTGCGCCGGTTACCTTTGAGACCGCCCACCCAGTGATTCTTCCAAAGTCAAGCCCTGTGTCTGTATTGATAGTTCGTTACTACCACCATGTGCTGGGCCACGCAGGCCGTGAACATGTGTTGTCCGTCCTCCGCCAACGTTACTGGATACTGAGAGGAAGAGCTTTGGTGCGTCAGATCCTGAGCAAGTGTATAAGTTGCCGCAAGCGGAACACGCCTGCCTTACAGCAAGCGATGGCGGACCTGCCAAAGGAAAGGCTGTTACCTTATCATCCCCCGTTCACCTTTACGGGCCTCGACTTCTTTGGCCCCTTCTATGTGAAGCGCGCTCGTAGCGTTATCAAAGTGTATGGTTGCATATTCGTGTGCTTTAACAGCCGGGCAGTCCACATCGAAGATGTTAGTTCCTTAGAAACAGACACGTTTATTTTGGCTCTGCGCCGGTTCATCTCTGTTCGCGGCTGCCCTAAGGAGATCTGGTCAGATAACGGCACGAATTTTACTGGCGCTGAGAGGGAACTTCGGCGTTCGGTTCGAGAACTGAATGAAGAACAAATCAAGAGAGAGCTACATTCGTACGATGCGGATTGGTTCAAATATGTGTTGCCAAGGTGGCGTTTCCAACCCCCTACCGCGAGCCACATGTCAGGCGTGTGGGAGAGGCTTATTAGAAGTGTGCGGAAGGCTATGAATGCTGTCTTGAGCAAACCAGGCGCTGCAATCCCTTTGGAAACCCTGCGCACCGTATTCGCCGAAGTCACGTCCATTCTAAACAGTCGTCCCATTTCCCCAGCAAGTGATGATCCAAGTGACATGGAGCCACTCACTCCAAACCACCTACTTTTACAGCGACGAAATCTCGCCATACCCCCCGGTGTCTTCGCCAAGGAAGAGCTGTACTCACGCAAGCAGTGGAGACATGCGCAATTCCTTGCTAACTGTTTTTGGTCGCGATGGGTTCTAGAGTACGTGCCCACCTTACAGCAACGCCACAAGTGGCTACTAAATAAGAGGAATTTAGCAGTGAATGACCTGGTTCTTGTGGTGGACAAAACTGTGCCGAGATCCCGCTGGTTGCTGGGTCGCGTAACGAAAGTGTTTCCTGGTGAAGATTCACGTGTCCGCACCGCCGAAGTGAAGGCAAAGGACTCTTCTCTTACTCGTCCTGTGACCAAGCTGTGTCTCCTTGAAGAAGCTGCGTGAAGGGTTTGCCGTAGAGTGCAATGAACGTTGCAAGATTAAGCTGAAAACATTGTCGTGAACTAACAGTCGGTTTAGAACTTTAACATTGATTAGTGATTGTCTACGGGGGCTCGTTCAGCCCTACCCCCCGGGATGTTGAGGCTAATCCTCAACAAGAGAACAATTTTGTTTTCCTAAGTCCGTTCCATTCCATTTTTGTAATTTATACTCCCAGCATGCTTAGTGAGCGCGTCTCAGTGTCGTCGTGTAGCGAGAAAGAAACCATGTGCTTTGTAACGCGCTAGTCGCCGGGAGTTTCTCATCGTATGGTGAGTCTTAGGAGCTCGTGTATTTCCAAATCCCGTTCCAACAGTGATTAAGTGTTTGTTTTGTAGGTTTTTACTTGCGAGGTGAAGCTTGTTAGCCAAAGATGAGACTCCAATTCCGATCCTGTTGTGTTGTTAAGAAAATATGCTGAGTGTGCAACTCTCGATTATTAAACTTGTGTTCAAGAACCCTTGTGTTGTGAAGGCGCGTTTTGTCCCCTGGACATGAGGTTTACTATTTTTGTTGAAATTCGCATCGCCTGTGGGATGCGTGTGGGCTCATTGTAGAGAGGTGGAAACTCGATTTGGCTATGAGTAGGGTGTGAAGAATTATGCAGATCGAGGAGGACATCCTCCGATTGAGGTTTTGCGATGGACGTTTTTGTAGCTAATGAATCAACACTGGGTGTTTTTTTGTTTTTCGTATTCTCTGGTGACTTAGAATATATGTTATACATCATATTTGACCTGCGGATAAAGTGATGAAGTGAATTTGATCCTGCAATATAAGTGGTTGAAAAAGACCCCTATCCACTCGATCCCTAATATTTAAGACGACAGGACTCAACACTCTATCCATTGAGCTAATTAAGCCAACTGGGGGAAAGTAGGCTATTGCGAGTTCGTAATATACACGATGGTGGGAATGTATTAAAATGACTCCCAATTATGAAATAAGTTATGTATTTGAACTGCTTTTCGTACTCTTTAACAGGTGGCTGATCCAAAAGAAGACCGTGTTAGTGAACTCGCGTCAACAGGACCTGATCATGAGTTAATGATTGATACCGCTTCACCACCAGAGGAGATCAAGGAGCGTACTATACAGTTGATAAATTATATGAAAGGTAAAGATGTTAAGGCTGAAGAATCTGTTACCAGTATTGAACTGTGGGATTTTGCTGGACAACACCTGTATTATGCATCCCATCCTGTCTTTTTATCATCACGTGCGCTGTACATATTAGTGTGCAACCTCAGCAAGTCATTGCATGACATATCCAAGCCCTGTGTGAGACAAGGATCTCGTAATGTTGAATTGGAAAACCCAAATGGAGAGACAAATCTTGAGAACTTATTGTCTTGGCTTTCCACGGTGCATAGCGTCGCACAGATGAGAAGAGGAACCTGTGATGATGTAGAAGAAACGGTGCCTCATCATTTGCGTCCCCCAGTGATCATTGTAGGAACTCATGCAGACAGACCATTTGAAGACATTGCAACAATGAAAACAGAAATCCAGAACGCAATTGCTGGTAAGGACTATGAAGGACATGTGGTGCGGCCCATCTTCAGCATTGACAACACTGCGAAATTACTTCAAAATAAGATCAGAAGTGTTTTTAGGAAAGACGAAAACATTGATGACATCCGAGCTCTACAAGTCAAAATCATGGAAGTGCTAAGACAGGAGCCTTACTTTGGGGAGGAGATACCTGTGAGGTAAATAATGGTTTTTAAAAACAAGAACACAATTCCATTAAAATTAATAATAATTTCATCGGTAACTCAGTGACTCTGACGTGACACTAAAGCGTGTCCAAAACAGGGTGTTACCAAACTTAGACTTAAGACATAAGACCCCCTAAAATCGGATCCGTCGCCGAGAAGTATAAGTGAAATTATAACCGAAGTTAAAGTATAAACTGTCAAATTATCTTCTCTCCGATCCTTTCCACGGAAGTTTTGGTCAAACTGAGCGGTAAATTTTAGGGGTCTTAGTTTTCGTAGTTTCGGAAACAAAGACCCGTCGTAGTTTTCGTTATTATGAAACTGAACTAGGACCCTCAAAAGCGAACCGTAAAATATATATGAAGTCGGATTACGACCGTTCAAACACTACATGATGCCGCAAAACTATCATCAGCTCGATCCGCGTCTAATTTGCACACATATCAGTTTATTTTTGCGGACTGGCGATTCTTTGTGTTTTGCGGTTAGGACAGATTGGTTTTTCTCGCTGGGAATTAATTTTTGCGATTTTCAAAAAGTAACCAGTACTCACCATTGATAATATTTTCGTTTTGGTTAAGTACGTGCACTCAGGGTGTAATAGAAACACATATTTTCGAACAGTATTACATTATGCGTACCCTGTGTAAAACCAGTAATTCATTGTATTAATACCGTTTTGTTTCTGAATGAAAGAGGCAAGTTGTAATCGAACAGACACGATTTCTTAGTACTGTATCTTTGCGGAGTGAATTTACGTGAGAGAATATTTACTCTGGAGTAAATTTTTGCGGTAACTTCAGTTTTCTTTGCGGGAACTTATTTTTGCGGATCGATGGAAAAATTGCAAAAATTAGAACCCGCGAAAATTCGTGCCACACAGTATCCTCATTATCGCTTTCGGAAACGTTACCGCGGGTAGAGGGCAGGCACGGAGGGGTACAAATTTTGACCCTGTTTTATAAAGAATACCCTTTAGGCTAGTAGCTCAATTTTAAACACACTGTTCTAGATTTTAGTAACTTTCCAAAGCCCTCCTTTTTTGAAAAACAAAGTTATTTCTTTGCCTTTTCGACGTAAACTTCGACTTCGACTCAAAATGCGACAATTTTGTCTTTTTCTGTTTGGAGCGCAAAGCACGAATGCAGAGTAATAATAATAGACAGTACTTCAACTGAATAACTAGTGGCCCTCAAACTAAACTTATAAAACAAAAATAAAATTAAGTAACCAAAAATACACATCGTTAAAGAAAGAGAACTATCAATTTATATATATATGAAATACGGTATTACTCGACAATTACTTTACCACAGCCTACGACACGCAACAGGGGTTCAACAGTTTGTTTATTTTTTATTTTGCGTTTTATGGCTGTTAGCAATTTGAAACTTTCATGAGTTCGAAATCTTGTATCCCGTTGTAGGTGAAAGGAAAAAAATATGTAACCCCGTTTTAAATCAGGAATCTCAAACTCACTGCCCCGTATAGCTATAGCTCCCCCGTATAGCTATTTTAGGGGAGTGGCCCTCCACCGGGTTCGGGGGTGGGGAGGCTTTCCACCCCGGTCAAACGTTTAAAACCATTTTCCTTTCATTAAGCGAGATTTAGTCGACTCAGTCGCTGTCAAGTTAAAATAAGACGAGTGTGCTTTAACTAATGTCGAAAACCAATTGGCTCTTTCCACTGAAAAGAGCCGTGTAATGTTCTTTTTATTATATAGACAAAATGATATCGATAAAATAATAGATTTTTATTCGCCATAAAGTAATCGTGACGTTTCAAATTTACAGTACAGCAATAGAAGACACTGTTTACAATGATCTTCAGAAATAACACTGAGCTGAATAGGGCTCTACAATGACAAACTATCAGCAAAGCTTTGAAAAATGTGTAAGTAAAATTCAAAAGACGCAAGACGCCTACAAATTTCGGATGGAAATTACGGAAATCACGTCATCGATAAACTCACGTGTGAGATTATGGAAAATAAACCACTCGGGTCTCGGATGTAGTTTTTATGAATTTTACGAGTGGTATATTTTCCAGTAAAACACTTGTGTCTATATAATAAATAACAATTATTCACCGAAGTGGAGGTGGCTAGTGGTGGTTATTTACCGAGGCTGCGAAGTGGCGAGGTAAATATCCACCACCAATAGCCACCGACACTGAGGTGAATAATTGTTTCAGTATTAGTATATACTAAAACAGTGAGATAATTGAGCACAAAAATGATGATTTTTAACTCATTTACTGTTGCCAACGATTACAATTTTGGCACGCAATGACCGAACGGCCGCGGTCGTCGCTTTTTCTTGCCGACAAATAAAACTTTTGAAGGCGTTTGTTTCGCTCTTGTGGGGAAATTTCTTCAAAAGGAGATGTGAATTCTTTTTGTTTTTAAAACCATTCTGTAAAAAAGATTATTAAATTTAGTTTTAAGCTTATTTATGAACAACTCAACTAAACAAGGTGACCACTTGAGACCCCACTTAACGCTAATAGGCCTCTTGCAATAGCTGCTCACGTGATCAACTTTCTGTAAACATGTAAATAGTTCGCTTTTGGACAATTCTGTTAGCAGGAACTGAAAGAGCATGTTAAAATTAAGTAACCTTTGGATTTTCAGCCGTATATCTAAAAAGTAGCGATCGCAACGTAAGCGGCCCGCGAATATTAGAAGGAATTGTGTGAGAAAAACAACTCTCGCCACCCAGTCACGCTTGAATAGTTTTGCATACAAATCCTTGTAAATTTCGATACTTATGAACTGTCGCTAAGTTTTTCCCTTACGCAGTTAAGGACTCAAATCGCCCGTTTAGAATAAAAGGGAGATTTGAGCCCCATAATGCTTCAGGAAATAATTTACGACAGTTTGAAAATTTCCAAATTTACAAGGGTTTGTATGGAAAACTGGATGGCAAGAGTTGTTTTTCTCTTCTAATTTTTGGCGGTCGTTGCGATCGCTATTTTTAAGATATAAGGCTGAAAATTGACAGGTTACCTGATTTCAATACGCTTTTTCAGTTCCTACTGACAATATTTTCAAAAGCCAACTGTTTTCGTGTTTACAAGAAGTTGATCATGCGATCAACTAATGCAAAAGGCCTATTAAACCAGCTGTTTTAGGTAAGCCTATATTTATCTTATTTTTACTTTATAAAGACCACAAGCAATAACTACAGTATGTTCTCCAGTATCCGGACACTTCAGTTTAACATTGCAATAACTTCCCTTTGTTAGTCGCAAGAGCTCGGAAATTTGGCCCAGCCGGAGAAAATCTATTTAGTCCTTAATATGACGAAAGATAATTAACTTTTTTACGTTTCTTTCCACCGCGAAATTAATATTTTTTCATGAGAGCTCCTAGGTTGCCCAGTATCAGGCCAGCTGGCCCATTATCCGGCCACAACAATAACAACGTAATTGTACGTAAATTGTACGTACAGGCAAGCGACTAATAAGCTTCTCTTGCACTTGCAAAGTAGTCTGGCAATCGATTCGAAAAATATAAATCGTTCTGGGAACCTAGCATCGTGAAATAAAACATAACAAATGACTGGGGTATGGGGGGGAACGCAAGCGGCTGTTAAATGGTATAGTTCTTATTTCCTTGTCTAGGAACTTTTTCACTGATTTAAGGAACGCATCCGTGGACAAGCCAAAGCAGCGGTTTGCAAGCTCAATTAGCCCATCTGCAAACCGGTCTTTTTCTTCATTTTTTGTTTTTTTTTTTTTTTTTTGACCGCTTCCCACCTCAATCTGAGTCAAAGGTCACTCTCCTATTTAGTCTGACCTACAGTGTTGATTTCGTCATGCTCAGTCCCCACATTTGGCCTGCTTTTTCTACTACTAATTCCTCCTTCTTTTACACCTGTCAATCCCGTTGAGACATTTTTCAGTCCGTTGCAACCTCATTCTAGCAGTCACAACTGGGGAAAGTATGAGAATTCCCGGTTTAACTCCGTCGCTTCCGGTTATATATAGAAAATGCAGTCACGCGAAATAAGCCGTGCACGCGAAATCAAGTCGCCTCTGAATGAGTGAAGAAAATAGAATTTCCATAAGGAGTTGAGTAGAATTACATTTTACGATTATATCATATATCCTAAGCTTTAATTATAGTTATAGATATGAAATAAATCTTATCCGGATAATGTGCGCAGCTAATTCACCGATTCTGTACAGCAAAGAAAAAACTGCCCGGATACTGGGCAGCTGACATCGATACTTGGTGAAAGTTTGTGGCCTTCGTTATTCCAAACAAATCGAATTTCAAGAAGAATTAATAAAATTTCTGACAACCTGACTTCTTTAAATATCTTCACTTTAAATATAAAACAGTCTCTTTGAAAATATCACATGTTACCTACCCTTTTCTGAGCAGCACTAATTTTACTGCGTAGTAAACAGCGTGATATTAGCCATGAAAAGTTTACTCACCTGAACAGAACGGCGTCTTCTGCGACTGTTTCGCAGCTTTAAACTCGCCAAAACTTTTATCTTAAAGCTGAAATGTTCTGCTTTAATTCGAAATACTTCGTTTACCGAGAAAAGTGAAAAGAGCGCCTCAAAAACTGAGTTTTTTGTTTAAGTGGCTGGATACTGGTACCGTCCGGATACTGGGCAACATACGGTAATGAAAAATCTCTTACTTTGCACATGACCGCTAAACAAATTCCAAACGTCTTGGCGACTTTTGCTGCAACTTTAGTCGCCACTTTTTTGCTATATGGCGACCAGAATGTTCACAGCTTGGAGCGATTTTCTTTAGTGATGTTTACCGCTTCGTTTTGGAACGTGTGCTCTGTATTGTAGTCGGTGCAAGTATAGTGTGCAGTGACATGGGTACTATAACGCGCGTTATTTAGTTTCTCTTTGTTTTTATAAACTAGGTGGCTGAACTTTGAAAAAGTCCTCAACGCTTTACTTTCCAAGCCCAAGCCAGTTTATTACCTGAGTATAACGAAGCTACGGACCCATGCCAAGGAGAAGTGCTTCATCCATAGTAAGAAAGAGTTTACCACCATGGTGAATTTCTATCATGACCTGGGGGTAATTATCAAGCACCGTAGCACAGCCATCTTGAGTACCCAGTGGCTGATAGACTTGTTCGGGCAGCTGATCACTATTCCAGATTTTGAAGAAATGGTAAGAAATACATTTTGAACATGTTTTTAAACTTGCAATGGTTTCTAATGGCCCACATTTCGGATGACTTTACAGGTGTCTAACCGTGCTATAGCTTATGAACATGATTATTAAGTGCGTTGCACGCTATCTCTTTGAAAATGTTAACTGTTGCAAATTATTTGTGAACAGCAAAATCGTAGTGGGTTGGCTCTCTATTGAATATTTGCCCAGTGTAAAACAGTTAGGGTGGGCGTTTTCTCGTGGATGTAATTCTGAAATGAAGTCTTACCCAACCAAACCTATAACAACTGAATTCAGTAGTAGTAACGCTTGGTCAGCAGTCTTCTTGTAATCAACCCGCTATACTCGCTATACTATACAGTTAATCATTTTCACTGCACCTTCTTTCTTGAACGATAAAATATCCCAAGAGGATTCCTGTTTCAATTTCGAAGGACAGCAGGTGACATCACGAGGTAGCCGCCAACAGTAAAAGGAGCTTATAACTAATTTACCTGCAGTTTACCCTTTATGTAAGCTCAAAGGAATCGGACAAACAAACAGAGTGAAAATACATATTGTACATATAAACGAAGCCTTACTATTTACCGCCCAAACTGATGCACGCGCGGAGCGAATTGCGAAAAATTTGTAACAACGTCTTAACCTACACAAAACATAGGCACGTTTTACGTGCATGGGCTATTTTGAATGCTTCAGTGTAACAGTATCGGCAATCTACTGTTTTTATCCTAAATTAAGGCTATGTTTTGTGCGAAATTGGGTATTACTGTACATTGATGAAAAAGAGAACCGCTGCGCATAGCTGATTCGTTCCTCATACTACCGATTCACTTAGTCGTTGTCTTTCCTTCAGACATCTGGTGCAAAATAAACAAATTGTTAAAGTACTATGAATATCAACGCACCAAACGTTGCTTAGAGGGAAGACTCGAAGGTTTCAAGGTTTCGTCATGGTTTCTTAAATTAATGAAGCTTGTCGAAGACCGAATAGCTAAGAAATGTCACGATTTTCATCATTAGCTATCATTGTTGTAGATGGTTGCATAATCATTATTCACGAGGTTGTCACGTGCGAATCTACTTTAATGAAACAGTCTTTAACTCTGACCACTCAATTCTAAAAGGGTTATAAGTTTTTGCTTCTTAAAAGAAAAGGGCCTTTGCTTCATACGTTCCAGTTACTATTATTACTGTGAAAAGCCGGTGTGCATGAGATGTAGAATCGCACAGTTTGCACGTGAAAGTGTCGGACTTTGCCCCTTTCGTGGTTCGTACGTGAGGGAATTCGAGTTATCACACAATAATCTAGAAAACGGAATTATAAAAATAACTCATGCACACAATTTGCACTTGAAGATGTTGGACTTTGGCTTTTTTACAATTCGTACCTAAAATAACGTAAATTGTTTACTAGAAAATTTTCTCAAACGATTTTAAGAAATCACCTCGGCTTCATTACAACATCTGCAATTAAATTATGCTTCATGCGACGTCAAGGTTGATACCTAACATTTATTAACTTCCAAGAAAATATTTCTACTCATATCATTCCACTCCATCAAACAATATGTAATTATTTTTTCAACTAGCTTCTTTCATTTTAATTCCCTAACCGCTACCGTTTCGACTTACGTTATGCATCTTTATTAATAAAATAAAATACTTTTCCATAACTATAATAACTCTAACTAACTCCTCACCTAATTCATGTATTTTTTTTCCTCCGGTATGAAAAAGGTCTGTTGAACTTTGTAAGCGAGAGAATAAAGCTTGTTTACAGGATTAGGAATACTCGTCTTGCGTTTCAAACTTCTAAAACAACAATTTATAGGCCGCAAACTTCCGAATTAAAGTCCATAGTTATATAAATTTCAATTATTGTTTCATTGGAAGAACTTTGAAAAATATATGATCTTTTATACTCTACCTTGAAGCAGGTGAAACAGAACTCATAAAATTAATTCTGAAATATGTGCGTTGTACCGTTCGCGATAGCCGAATTAGGTCAAATGTCTTGATGTAGCACCCACACAAAACTATGGAACCGTCAACAGTTGCATCACTGTACCCAACGTTTGAATCATAAAGATATTTCAATACTATGCTTCAAAACACTTTTAGCCGTAATAAAAGGCGAAAAAACTGTGAAGAATCAAGATGGCGCTCTCTAAGTGGCCTGGTTTGACCTTAAGCAATGTCATTAACGGTTAGATGCCAAAATCGCATTGGTTCCTACGCATCAAATCATAGTACCTACAACCTTATTGGCCCTGCAACAAACATCCGAACATACAAAGCCACGAAGCCACGAAGATACATACTCTCACACCACTGACATATGAGCAATTTTTTCAAAATAGCTCAAAAAACGAAGAAGTTTAGCTTGTACGAAGCAGTATTGTCTCCTACATACGCTGACTTTCTTTTTGCTCGTTACGCAACCCTCTCCAACTAGATTACAGGTAGTCTCTCCTCCTCAGGGATAGTGGAGCGAGCGAATTACGCGAGCGCGCCTGAAATTTGTCACCCTCGAGGAAGGTGACAAACGCTCCTGTATTTTAATCGCTCAAATATCCCAGAGGAAAATAAGGGGCCACTCGTAGTCTATCCTCAGTAGTATATTAGGCATAGAATCAGCCTTTTTTGCGGTGGAATCTTCGGTGGAATACATAAACGCGGATGACGTCATAACCTTTTGTCTTTCTCTCATGAATTAAATGCGGTTGAATCTCTTTAAAGGGTTAAAAATAGCACACGACCTTATCTTAGAGCCAGTTGACATCGAGGTGGAGGACCCTAGGTAGGTGAGGTAACCCGCTGATGGTCACCCCAGCTATCATGTAAACGTGGTCAAATTAAAGTGGGACATTATGTGGATAGGCGGGTTACCCCACCTAAGCGGGTTACCTCACCTGCCTGGGGTCCCCCACCTCCATGTACACAGGCCCTAAGATAAGGTCGTGTACTATTTTCAACCCTGTGGACAGGTTTTCCAGTTATTTCTTGGTAGCTGAAGGTCTTGCTTTGTGATTGGTTGACGACTACATGTAAGAACTAGGAAAAGTATTCATTGGTTGATTAAGGTTGTCGAACTCGCCTGTGACGTAGTTATGCAAGTTACATTTCATACCGCTTTCATTGTTCAATAAGTTGTTCAGGTTTGCTATGCGCGCAAATCGTTAATTTTTCATGAGTATGAAGCCACACTAGCCATTTCTACCAAGAAAAACGCTTTTCCACTTTCCCATATCCCTTTTTCCTTTTCCACATTCCATTGTTTCACATTGTTTCCTTCCACCACGACAACCACGTTTCTATTGTTTTCTCTCAGCGCGAGGTTATGGTGAACGTTGTAAAGAAAAGAAAACTTAACTTCGTAAATCTTCTAACGTTATTGGAAAGAATTGTGTGACGAACCAAACGGAGGGCTGCTTAGGAGGCTATCCTCTTTACTTTTATTCACACAGTAGTACAGAGTACGTAACTTTTTCTGTATATGCGTCCCCACACAAAAAAAGGAAACTCTAGATCTTTTTCTTTGTTTGTTAGTTAAAATATTAAATAAAATAACCAATAATTTACAAGTGCATTAATTAACTGGCTCAAAATTCTCCCAAAATATCACTATTTTAAGAAAACTTTGTTATTGTCCTTCACCTTATTCCGTCTTAGGTTCCTAAGGTTGCCAAGCACTGGAAGGAAGTTAAAGAAAGCGGTGTTCTCTCCATGGAACTGGTTGATCTTGTGTTTTCCAACTTTCTCCTGAAGGGTATTGCCAGGAGAGACATTCTTGATTTGATGGAACAATTTGGATTGATTGCAAAATTTTCATCTTCAAAGACAGGTGAAAAGTATTTTGTTCCATCTCAACTCAAAGCGTCACCTGATTCCCTTTGTTCCATGGCGCCCTCAGAGCTGGACCCTTGTCCCCTGTTTGTTTACTTTGTCAGCGGTTCTGTTCCTCATGGTCTGTTTACACGGCTTGTTTCTCGATCTGTCCGTTGGTGTTCTGAAGCTGGTCCAACTCAGCCCCCTACCCTGTTCCACAATGGAGCGTGGTTTGTTATTGGGAAGCAAATTTTCCATGATTTTGTTCTTATTTGTAAAAAGCAGTTTATTAAGTTTTTTATCAAGCAAAGAAACCAAACTCAGCAGATCTCAGTAGATGACACAAGTGAGGTGGCGGTGCAGGTTCGTAAGTTTGTGGAGGCAACTTTGCAAGTTTTGTCACGTGATCTCTATAAAGGTGGATTGCAGTATCATATTCGGGTTGCCTGTCCGTATTGTCAGCGGGAAAAATGTTCAAGCCATAATCAGATTGCATGTTCTCATGAAGATTGTCTTCACCTCCTTGAGTTAAGACAAGGCGATCCTCTGATTTGCAAGAAGAAACCTGCAGAGGAGGTACTCACAGTTACGGGACAAGAAAAGTGGTTTTCACACATAGAAAGTAAGGTAGGTAGCAGTGAAATGCAATCTCTAGCAGTGCTGTTAACATATTACATTTCAAATCGAATACACATACTACTTAAAATTGTGTCTTTATAAAGAGTAGCCACAGTGACTGTAGCCATATATTTAAACTAAAGAGGCTTCAACAAAGTCCATGGATGTGCTTTGTTAAGGTTATGGTATGAGGTTTAACGTATGCCTTTATTTATCCTACCACGAGTTCCACTGGAGTGTACGACAAGGCTTTGTTGCTATCAACTTAGCGAACATTGGTACTTAAAATCAAGAAAGTTGATAAGGTCAATTGGCTACCATGTATTAATAATTGTTATTGGCGTGTAGCCATAGCAGTTGGTATATAACTTTTTCTCAAGGTCTTTGTAAATGTGATGTTTTGCTTTGCGGGTGGGCAATAAGTTTGTAGCATCTACCGTGTTGATAACATGTTTTGCAAACTTTCATTCAAAAAGCCCCTAGATATTAAATTTCTATTTTAAAGTATCCAAATTTTGGTTCCCATGCAGGAAGCGTGTTCTCCATCATCATCACCTGATACTGCACAGGTTCGTCCAGAGCGTCTGGTACTGAAAGTTACCCTTCTAGCGAATGAGTGGGGCTCGTCTAAGGGTGGCTTGTCAACAATAAACAGGACTCTTGCCATACATTTGACAAAAGACGAAAACGTAGAAGTGACCATTCTTGTACCTGAATTTGAGTGTGGAGAAAAAGACAAGAGAGTTGCCAAAAGTCACAACATTTCCATCAGGGAAGCAGGGCATCTACCTGGCTTTAGTGATCCTCTTGACTGGTTGAGCTATCCACCAGAAGACCTTGACATTCAGGTTGTGATCGGCCATGGAGCAAAGCTTGGTAGACAAGCACAGATTATCAGAAAGTCTTATCGATGCAAGTGGGTGCAGGTTGTTCACACTGAGCCTGAAGAGCTGGCAATGCATAAGAACTATCCAAGCGCCATTGCCAAGGGAGAAGGGAAGAACAGAGCTGAAGTTGACCTTTGTCAAATTGCAGATCTCGTTGTAGCCGTTGGACCCAAGTTGAAAGAAGCGATCTCGTCCCAGTTGCGTTCATCTCGTCGAGAAATCTTTCAATTAGTACCAGGTTCCTTTACAGAGTTTTCAGATGTTGAGCATTCTGAACAAGAGAATGTAAATTTCAAAGTGTTAACCTTCGGTCGCGGTGATTTCGAAGACTTCAGTCTTAAAGGATACGACATTGCCGCTCAATCCATAGTTGAATTGAAGGACAGCTCGTATAGTCTTGTTTTCGTTGGTGCATCCGATGGAAGGCAGGATGACGTCGCAGAAATCTTACTCCAGAGTGGCATTTCAAAGAACCAGCTGATTGTGAGATCATTTGTGAAAGACAAACAAAGATTGAGAGAGTTGTTTTGTGAAGTCGATCTGGCCATCATGCCATCAAGAACTGAGGGGTTTGGTTTGACAGCATTGGAAGCCATGTCAGCCGGTCTTCCCATTCTGGTAAGTGGAAACTCCGGATTTGGAAAAGCACTGCGTGGTCTTCCAATGGGTGAGTCATTTGTGATCGACTCTGATGACCCCAAGGAATGGGCCAAGGCAATTGCAGCTATCCGTCAAAAATCAAGGACAGAGCGGCTTGAGGAAATCCAAAGACTGCGAAGAAGTTATGATGAAAGTTTTTGTTGGGATGGACAGTGCCAGGCCCTTGTTGACAGGATGTGGAAGATGGTCTATGGTAAGAAATCAAATTTACCGATAGAAAAGTAACGATAATAATAATAATTAGTACCTGATGATTTTCAAATGCGTATCTTTTCAGTGTTATCCTCCATTTGGCCTTCATAATTCATCTCTGTATGTCCATTGCTTCTGCTTTAGGGATTGCAAAAAAAAACATTTTTACTATATTATGTTTCGTGGTCCATGTGCATCCCTGCAGAAATATTTTTGTTAAACTTTTATTCTTAACATAGGGATTCACATTCTCCACACTGTTCTTCATACATTCCTTGGGTTACTGATGAGGAGATTTTGTTTAACAATCAAGATATTTTTTTACCGGCTGATCAATTCTATTTTTTAAAACTTTCATGTATAATTTTATAACATATTGGCTACAATTGGAAGAGTTAACGATCAATTAAAATTTTGACTCTATAAGATTGCGATACATCAAAGTCATCTGATTTCTATTCATATCGAGCAGCAATGGTGGGTTGTCACAAAAAATGAAGGTTGGAATCGTTCATTCTTTTTAAGAGTGACATAGTTTTCTGTAAATCATCAATTTTTTAAACTTTACAGCTCTTGAAAAAAACAGAGAAGATGACGTTCCACAGAACGACTGTGAAAAAGATGCTGCAACAGAAGCGATAGCAGGTAATTTCATTGTTTGCTTTGTCAATTAAACCAGTAGAGTGAGGTTATTTTCTTCTGTTAAACCAGGGTACTTTCGATTTTTCGGGTGCTTTTAGCTTTTCAATGCTTAGTGTAACATCTCCAAGTAAACTGACGTAAATAATGTTTCCCTCTCCCGCTTACAGGCCAAACCATTTAAATTTACTGCTAATTTTAAACTTTTGCAGGTGTTACAAAAAACCGAGAAGATGACGTTCTAAAGAATGACTTTGAGAAAGATGCTGCAACAGGACCGATGGCAGGTGATGTCATTGTTTGCTTTGCCAATTAAACCAAAGCCAAAATATATTTTTGCAGTAGAGTGAAGTTACTTTGTTCTTTTAAAACCAAAGTAATTTTTCTGAAATTGTCGACTGTTTTAAGCTTCAGACCAGCACACAGTGCTGCACCTGTTTTATGGAACTTGCTGCCATTGACTATAAGAACAAATAGCAGCCTCGCCATTTTTTAAAAGCATCTTAAAACATTCCTTTTTAGGAAAGCTTATAATCTACTAGAATGACTCTGAAGTTTAATGCTTTGAATATTTTCATGTAATTTTATATAGAATTTTAGACTTTATTTTTTAGATTTTTGCATAGCATGGAATTTTTTTATTATTGTTATTGTTATTATTAGCTTTTCAGGAATTTTTTTAATTGTAACTTAATGTTAAGCGCTTTTGAATATGTTATAGTTCTAGCACTATACAAATTCTTTATCATTATCATTATCACTATCTCCTATTAAACTGGCGTGAAATAACCTCTTCATGTATCTTATTTTGTCTTTTTCATCTTCTGCTTACAGGTGAACCCATTTTCCTTGCACTTCAACAAATCCTGTTGGAAGCACGCATAGAGTCCAGCAAAACTGAGCTGTCGCAGGCTTTAAAGACAACTGCGTTGGAGAAAGGTTTTGCGATTTCTGACAATCAAGGGGAGGGGAACTGCATGTTTTTTGCACTTTCAGAGCAGCTTGACCTCATCAAAGGAATTCAAATGTCCCATGATGAGTTACGCCGAACTATTGTTCAACATCTTCGGGAAAACCCCAGACTGGTAAGTACCTTATTATTTTTGCGTGGGTAGATTCATTTGCGAGCCGTAAGCCGTCGTATTTGCCCGCTTTGCTTTTAAGGTTATAAGTAATAAGGCCCCGTCCACACGTGGCGTATTTGAATTTTTTTTCGCCCGTCGGCATAAAAACGCTAAAATTATTGAAATATGGTAGCATCCCTCACAGAACAAACGCAGTGGTACTAGCATATAATGTATGACATCGTCGTATTAGTAGAAAGCCTCTGTTTTCGTCCGTCCACACGTAAACGAAAAGTCCACTCTGGGGACCGCTTTCTGGGGACCTGCGTGTTTGGTCCCCGAAAAGGCCCTTTTCGTGTGGACGGAAGGCTAAAAATAGCCTGATACGTGTGGACGGGGCCTTGAATTCCTGCGATTAATTGTGACGCTTTACGGGTATGCTGCAAATGAATCCATCCTTTATGAGCAAAACAACAGCTCTGCGTGACCATCACGCTTGTTTGTACTTTACTTCGTCGTCCACTGCACGACTACGACGTGAAACGTTTTGAGGAGGACCTTGAACGCAGGCAACGAATTATTGTTATTGGCTCCGGATGCTGTCCTTAGAATTCAAATCCTACCTTTTTTAATTTGAAAACGCTACGTAAGCGCCATAAAAATTTAAAAGAACGCAAATTCGTTTCCTTTATCGCATTTTTGACTCGGAGGTGTAAATGGACACGGATTTTAGGAAATCTGTTTCTGTCGCCTCGATCGTCTGACTTATGTCCTAATTTCTTATAATTACGTTATGTTGGTAAGTATGAAATCTTCACCGAAAGCCGCTTTGTCCGAACAGCATATGTTTATGTAGTGATATGAAGTGAAGTGAATACTTTATTTAAAGAGGGTAAAACTTGATAGTTATAACATCAACTGATAAACTTGAGGTCCTCAATACTGGTTATATATGTAGGGTCATTTCTGACCCAACGTATTTCCAAACTTTTATTATTTCATAGTAAACACCTCTTCCCCTCTCTCTTACACGTGTAACGGACACCTCCCTAAAACGTCCTCAAGTACTTTCCTTGAAGTGTTGGTCCCTACCGTTCTTAATTGTTTTTATTGGACTTTTTACAAGGCGAATAGTATAGGATACACAGGTTAGACATCGTTTTGGAAGTGAAATCTCATTAGTATGAAGTGGAACAAATAAATGTCGGTGACATCTTTATCTCATGAATAAACTGCGGTAGAATCTCATCAAGATAACGTCTAAGTTATACGAGCTATTTTTATGTAGTTTCTAGTATAACCAGTTATTCTTACATTGATGATGTAACTTGCAGGGATCATGTTCTTGTTTGGTGAGAATGCTATCGTAGTTTATTTCATTGTCCATTGCAGACACCCTTTTTGGCCTGGTTCCGGTTCACTACGAAAGTGGACATATCTGCTCTGGTGCCGGTACCAGCGGGGTGCGCCTTAGAGAGAGCTGACAGCGCAGCTTCCTGAATATGTACCTTCTACAAAAGCACTCCACCTCTTTCTCTATTAACTACAGTTTTTTTTTTTTTTTTTTTTTTACAGCCGGATGGGACAGAACTGTTTCATTTTGTTGATGGATATCCATCTTGGGATGCCTACCTCACAAGTATGATGGCAGATGGTACGTGGGGTGATCACGTGATTCTACACGGCGCGGCAAACTGTTTTCAAACGTGCATCCACGTGATCAGCAGTCTTCCGCATCGCCATGACGTAATGATCTGCCCAGAGTTTGATGTTACTGGTAGCAGCCGGCTCGTGCTGGGTCACGTGCACGAGCTTCACTATGTTAGCCTTATTCCACAGATAGGAAGTAAAGATGTCTGATTATACTGCGATTCAAGAGTTGCTAACTCACGATATCAAATTGAAGACACTTGAGTTGAACAACTGGCTGAACCTTTATTGTGGCAACTTATTCACAAAGATGCTGGCAAAAAACAAGATGTCTATTATTCATATGTACAGTTTTATTATCCGTCAATGTTGTTATAACGGTACAAATGGCCATATAAATAAACTAACGATTCGTAACAAAACCTTTTTTGGTTTCAAAAAATTAATACAGCCCCTCCAATTAGTTAGATAAATTAATGTAGTTTTCTTAATAGAACTTGGTTTTTAGGGCCAGCACCTTGCCTGCAGTCCCCTGTAAATACCGGTACTCCACCATTTGAGCCTGTTGTAAAAATGCGCGTACTTGTGATTAGCTTGTTTCTGTGTCCTCGAGTGAATAACTGTTGCTGATGATTGTTACTCCGTTTGCGGCGTGTTTAAACACTTAGTCTTACCGTCTGCAAGTAGACGAGTCAGAGTTTTTTTCTGACATTTTAATTAGTATTTAGGTGCTAAGAACAGCTTCTGTTTCAGATATCACTTGCCTGAAGTCTCTGAAATAATTCAGGGTCAGTTTTATTCGTGAGTAAAATATTTTCTTAAAAGATCACTCGTACCTCGATCAAGATGTTCCTAACCACAGAGCATCATGAGTCAAAACACATTTCCAATCAAATTTGTTGGTAAGAATCGTTCCTGTACATGTCTCAGGTGCTTTTTATCAATCTGTGAGTATTTTCAGCCGTTCGAGTAATAGACCTTTTTACCGATACGGCGGCCATATTGAATTTATTAGATTTAATGAGTATTATGGGATCCCCAGGGGGCACTCGCTCAGTATTTACGCAGGCTTTTTGGGCAAAATGAGAACTTCAATGATTGTTTATCGGCAAAAAGGCGATGATTATTGCATGCAAACACGGCACAGCGATCTTTTTTTCCCATTACAATCTTTTTCTAGGAACACTTAAAGAAAAATTGGCCCGAAAAGCGCGCGTAAATACTGATGCGTGTACATCGTATCGTGCTCATGCCCCCTGGGCATCCCATAATACTCCTTAAATCCAAGTAATTCAATATGGCCGCCGTATGGGTAAAAAGGTATATAATGGAATCAATGCTTAAGGGTATTGTGTGTGTAAATACAACAGCCTCTCATCCGCCCCGTCGCGGGGGAAAACCAATTCCTTATTATATAATATATGTATTTTTATATTAGACGTAATTTACTAGGGTATTTTTCTTACCATCCTAAGTATATATATATTTTGTAGGCCACTGCTTCTATTTAGGTACATCAAACAATAAAGGTTATAGTAAAAGTAGTTAGGTTTAAGAGTCACGTCCCTCTACATACTGGTTAGTGAGAATCTTTTTAAAATTATCTAGTAAAGGTGTCGCATAGTTTATCAATTTATACATTCAATAATTGTCAAAATAAGTCTAGTTAATCCGTCAATTAGCCATTCATAAGTTCGGGTCAGTGTTAAATAGAGTGATTCCAGTCAAATAAGGACGCTATTTTCCTTCAAGGCAAGAATCACGTATCTAACATCCATTGTTACAGAAAATGAGCTCTAACTGATTAAAATTGGCTAACACTTTCAATATATTGCTTTTTCTTGGCCTAGTTAAGAATGCGGGTAGAAACTTAATCTTAAAACGCATAAAACGAGCCATATATAATGCCTTTTTTTGACATTTACCATTATTTCAGTCACTTTCTGAATTGAGGTATTCCTAAGAAACTAGCTTTAAGTTTGATTACTTTCCTGAAGAATCACGAATCACAAAGTAAGGAGATCGCGCGTTTAGACTGAAGCACAGTAATATCTCAGCTGCTTTTACGCCTCCCGCGCTAATCTTTGCTCGAATCAGTGCCACTTGAGACACCGCAAGTCTATTTCACTATAAATTGTTCTAAGATTCCACGTTGTGGGAGCAATAACTTTTGTCTAATGTATTGTGTACTTTCTTTCAAAACACGCGAAATGCGGCCTTCAGAAAATTTCAGTTTTTCAATATACCCAGAGAAGCATATGCACCACCTCCTAGAAACTCGCGCGATGCTTGAACCTTCCCAAGGACATGTCATGTTTTTTTTATCATGAAGTAGAGACCAAGCATGCTTACCATTTACACAAACCACCCGGGTGGAAATATTGTGCATAAACACAAAACTATAAAATTTGACTTGGTGGGAGAATGACGCGTTACAAAGAACAACCAATTCAGCTGAACAGACTAAAAAGAGTAGAAAAATTGCGTCGCCTCTAATCACTATATGCCTGAGAGCCTCGAAACGATGACTGATTCTGTCCGACTCCGTCCGCTGTTTTGAAGATTTTTGATCACTGGGGCGATGTTTTGATTTGTTTGTTGA